TATATATATATAACCAGTTATATTTAAGTAGTTAACCATAACTAATTAATTTAAAAAATAATAACTGGATTCTATTTTTAAAAAATAAAACAGTTGAAAATTTATAACTACTTTTAATTAACCGGTCATTTTATAAATAGTTAATCATGGTTATGGTTAAAATTTAAATAACCAATTAAAATGAGCAGTCCACGGTTTAGTTTGAAATTAATGTAACCGGTAATTAGACCCATTACATGATTATTTAATTCAATATGCATTCGTTTGCTGTAAAATGTGGGCGGAAAATTTAGTGAATGTATTTTTTATATATAAAAATAAATCTTTATTATTTAACTTGTTTGTAAAAGAAGAATAAAAGAAATTTAAGATCCAAAGCTAATGGGCCTGCGTAGATGGAAAGGTGGGCCGGAGAAAGTGAAGAAGCCCAACGATAGCCTCATACGACGTGGCAGCAAAACGCGTTTTGTCTTGTTCTGTTTAAAAGGGCGTCCCTGCCTCAAAGAGCTTCTTTGCCTTGAAACCCTAATTGCCGTTACTTGCAATTCGCAATCGTTGTGAGGCTCTGATGGGAGAAATTTATTCTCTGTTCTGTTTTTGTTGAGCATGGTATTTTGTTTTAATTGAACTTGTTTATGAGTTTGGGAATGATTCGTTTTGTTTTTGAGGAGTGGCTGGTGATGACAGTATTATTGGCATGAGCTGCGACGACAATTGTGCGCACGTTGTTGTTGCGATGAAGAATGTGCCAAAATGCTAATCTGAGGCTCTTTCTTTTCATTTTAGGGTTTTCTTCTCTGCGTAATCTCGATTTATTGTTCCTACAACTTTATTTATTCCCCCAAATTATTGATTCTGCTCTGCAGTTCATTCGCTTATTGCTCTCTCTTTGCATTTTAGGTTTTTGTTCTTTGTGTCATATCTGTTTATTTGTTTCCCAAGCTTTTCCAACAATTTTCTTTCTTCCCAAATTCTTGATTCGGATTATTGCTGACTCCTGCCTCTGCATTTCATTCAATTGTTATCGTCTCAATAAATCGTAAAAACTGTTTTTTTTTTCACTAAATTTTACTTTTTTTATTTCTATAATGTTTAATCCGTAATTTAAGTAATTTTAATTTCCTTAATTTGTAAATTTTGCAAGTTTGGTCTAATAGTAAATTCTTTGTTAATCTTTAAATTTATAATAATATTTGCCTATTGTTGTGTAATTAATAATTAAAAACTCTTAAATGAAATGAAATTAAAATATTCAAATTAAAATAAAATAAAATATTATTAAATATTAATTATTGCTTCAAAAAAAATTAATTACTAAGTTAAAGTCAATATTATAATTATAATAAAACAATAAATGAATATTAAATTTTTTTAGAACAAAATTACTGGTTTTATTAAATCAGGGAATTAAAGGAGTATTAATAAATTAAGAAATTAAAATTGCATATTAAATAGGAAGATGCTAATCAATACCCTTTAGTGTAGTGAACTAGTGATAAGAAATCCAAGGCAGAAAGTTTCAATAAAGACGTGTATTTGCAAATTATTTTATATAACTTTATTTTAACTTTTAATAAAAAATTTATACAATGATCTCTTAATCGAGTTATTCTAGAATTTATTTTTTGTGCAGAATAAAAATACTGCTAAAAGATTATCCAAAAAAAAAAAAAAGAATAAATGAAAACACACATTCAAATCAATCTAATCGTTCAAATGAAAAGTTAAGTTGATAGGTTAATGTCATTGTTTTTTATGTTTTAACGAATTTGTAGGTTAAAATCCTTTTCTCTATAAAATAAATATTTATTTTTGTATATTACCAAAACGATCTCAATCTAATTTCACTTAAGATAATTACATATCGGCTAAAGTTAAATTAAATATTATATATTAAATACAAACATGTATCACGATAATATTTTTAAATTTTTTCTAAATGAAAAAGAGGTTTATAATAATATTTTTAAAATTTTTTTTATCTAATTTGATCTTAATTTATTTATTTAGAAATTAAATGTTAATATTTTAAAATGAATTATTAATAACTAATTTCTTACTATAATATAAATTATTTACCATAAATTTAAAATATAATTTATATATTAAAAATATCTATTTATATTATTTTTAAAGATAATTTATGTTTTCATTATAGTATTTATGTATATATATGTAATTTATTATAAAATTTAATTATATATACTAAACATATATGTACATAAACACAAATTAAAAATGCTAGTAACTTATTAAATAATAAATAATTTATAAAAAAAAAACTTGATAAAGGTAAAGATTTAGATGTAAAATGTAATTGTGAATTATTTTTAATGGAGATTACAAAAATTGATTTTCGTTAGGACTTAAACTCTAAAGGTGAGTTGATATGCATTATTTTTGTTTGGATGATAAATCAAAATCATTTGAAGTTTAAATATAAAATTTTAAAAATGTTTTTTTCAATTAATATAAATGATTTATCATCTTGGAAATCTAATTTTTTATACAAGATCGAATTCAATAACTCATTTATTAAGATTGAGTTCATTTTTACTCAAACCAATAACTTGTTGATAAAATATTATAATTTATGTACATAAAATTAATTTTATTCAATAAAATTGTTAAAAAAAACTCAAATTTTCACAACATTATTTATTTTTACTGCATATTGAATTTTGTTAAGGGTGAAAAATAACTCTTAATTCACGCCGATAAGATGTTTTTTTTTTCCTTAAAACATAATATATATGAGTTGATAATTAAAATCTATAATATATGTATCTATAATCTATCTGTCAATAACTTTTTGTAAAATTATTCCTATCAATCCTAAATTTGGTTTTGAAAAATCCAATAATTGACCAAACATTAAAAGTTACTGTTTAACACAATTTTTAGGCCAAAATTGAGATTCAGTTGATAATGACAACGTGAATTGAATTGAAATTGAAAGGAATATACATGGAAGAAGTGTTAGTCTGTTATCTCTGGCAACATGCATGTACTAAATTAAATTTTGGTTTGATTCGTAGGTTTGAAAGGTAGCTAAGAGTGACATTGACCGACAGTTGTGGGTTGTTAGATAGATATTTGATATTTGATATTTGATGGCAAAAATAATGGTTATTGGTAAAAAGTGTGGAGTTATATGATTGTATAGCTTAGTGAAGAAGGAAAGTTGTGGAACGTTAAAGCCTCTAAATAGGAGCCAACTTTGTGTTTGTGTTTGTGTTCATAGGTTTTGTCTCAAAATTTCAGCAGTGTTTGGTTTCTCCGTCGTTGTCTCCACTGTGGTGTTTGGTGTTGTAAAGGGGTAGCCAGGTAACATGGGACCTGGCGGACCAGGGGGAGGTCCTGGTGGTGGAGGACCTGGCGGGCCGGGTTGGGGTCCTGGCGGTGGAGGACCTGGCGGGCCGGGTTGGGGTCCTGGTGGTGGAGGACCTGGTGGGCCGGGTTGGGGCCCTGGGCCTGGAGGGCCAGGTTGGGGTCCTGGCCCGGGTGGCCCTGGTTGGGGTTTTGGTGGACCTGGTTTCTTTGGGCCTGGTGGGTTTTTCGGTGGATTTGCAAATGGTTTATGCAACCTTGTTTCATCATGGTGAGTAACACTATTTTTTTTTATTTTTTTTTATTGATTTACACTTTTGATTCTTTTATAGCATGTGATATGTGGTTGTTTTAGTCTCTCAATATTTAATTTCTTCGTTGTAGTATTCAATTTTATATAATTTATATTTTTAGTCTTAAATTTTATTATCATAAGATTTGATATTAAGTAAATGATATAATAATTAATATTTTATGATATATAGGATAAATTACAATTTAAATCATCATTGTATCTTATTTTTATTTTATTTTACCAATTTTATGTAAATAAAATAAAATTTTAATAAAATTTAAATATTATTGAATATTAATTACTGTATTATCTATTTATTTTAAGATTATAATAAATTAGTGAAAAAAAGACATTTTGTACTTCTATAAATTTTGATTAACTACAAAAAGGAAATATAATGTAGTTAAAAATAAACGAATAGTTATTATTAATAGAATAGATAATTAATTTCTTGTATGTATATTTTTTTTTCTTCTTTTATTTTATTTATGAGAATTATGATTGTAGAAAAATGGCTAATATATAATAAAGAGTATAAATATTTAAAAAGTGTGAATTGTGAAATTCTTGATGATTGAAATATTATAAAATTTTATAAATTAAAAGATTAAAATTGTGAAATTAAAATTTGAAGAATGAAAATGATGTATAGTATATTACACAAGACCAAAGGTGTTGTTTATTTTTATAAAGAGTAACATTAAAAAAATAAAAATTGGTGGTGCATAGCATGATGAAACTATGATAGTGCTTATTCATGAATCTTTAACTATTCTATATGCTAGAGGCTTAGAGATGATTTCTAAATTTTAATTCATTGTAACCGGAAAATGCAGCTTCTACTGCTTGTGCTGTTGTTGGTTGTTCCGAGATTGTTTCGGTGGTCCAGGAGGCCGAGGCCCAGGCGGCCCACCACCTCCTTACTGACAACAGGCTTTACGTTGAGCCCAGTGGCCATGATTGTGAAGCCCATATCCATGTTCATTTAAGAGGGCTTTGCTATTTGTGTTTCATTCTAGTTTTGATGACTGGGAAGTCACTTTTTTACTCTATGTAATAATGTGTTGTGCATGTCTTATTTATTATAATTATAATAATTTATCTAAATTTAAAGAATTTTGGTCAACGATCATGATTTTCACGTCATTGTTCAAAAAGATTTTGAAGCCACTTTAACTTTAAATTTGATCTTCCTGTCATTGATTTCTTTTTTCTTTCCGTCATCTTAATTAACGCTCTATAGTTTCTTTTTTTTTTTCTCTTGAATTTATTTCAGTTAACGTTACTGTCTCTAGCATCCCAACAAAATGCCACAAACCCAATAATAACAAGCGAAATTGCTAAATCATATTTATTTTAATTGTAGTTGTGCATTATTAATATTAGGTCTCGTAACAAATGCCGTTGGGAATTCCACTGTATTTTAAAGTTCAATAAGAAATCATATTTCTGACTCAAATCAGATGAACCTAGCCACATATAATTGATTTTCACCATTTTTGTTACGTATCCAATATAATTATTTATAAATTAATTTAAATATTTTAAAAATAAATTTTCATTAAATAATAAATAAAAAATTATCATGTTACAAATTATTTATTATAAATTTAAAATATAATTTATATTTTAAAATATTTATTTATATATAATTTATTATAAATTTTAGTTATATATAATAAATATTTAGCATGTACATTACACATGTTAAAATACTAGTTAAATAAGAAATTATGAAAAAAATTCCTAGTTAAAAACAGTTTAACATAAGATAAAGATTCATATTTAATTTATAAGAATTAATTTGTATAATATATATATATATAATAATATATAAAAGGGATACTAATTTTACACATCATAATCATCTCTTCTTATTACTTTATTATTTAATTTCATAAATTTTAACTTAAATTTTAGTTTCTCGCCAAAATTCTATCATTGTAAACTAACAATGATTCAACTATTAGGATTAGCCTAATGATCAGGTGATGAGAGATTGAGGTAGTTAGAAGTATGAGACTTAAGTTCAATTTTTATTGCGATCTTTACAAAAAAAAAAAAATCAAAATCATGATTATTCTCTATAATGATAAGTGATTATTTTTTTTATCTTAACATTCTATCTTTTTCATTTTTTTGTTATTTATCATTTATATTTTATTTTAATTATTTTATATTTTATCTTTTCTTTAAATAAAACATACAGAAGATTATACTAATATGTATAAAAGATAAGCATGAGTTATAACTGATTTTTCATTTCAACATTTTTTTAAAATAATTTTACCCTTAAAATCTTTAAATAATAAAAAAATAAGTTAACTACCTATAACCATTTAAATTTTTTAATCAACTTTATTACTTAACCTATTTTTTTATTTTAAATTTTTATATATAAAATATAGAGACATGGAATGCCTCGACCCGTTAATATATATGTTAAGCATTTAGTTTGTGTAATGTAAATACCAAAATATTAATTGAATATATTTTCAAAATAACTTATTTAAAATTACATTTTGGATAGAGTTTTTTGATTTAACAAATAAATTATTTCTTGATTATTAATGCATTTTCTTTACAATTTTAAAAATTATTATTTATTTATCTAATTATAAAATATAAATTTAAAAAATTATGATTTTAAATATTTGTATTTTGATTTAAAAATGTTTTTTTTATATTATTTATCATACACAGCCGCTCCATTGGGCACGTTGACATTATTTCTGGAATATAATTGACCAACTAATTTATTTTTTCAATGAGCAAAAAGGATAGTAGCTTAATTAGGGTGTGTCCATAATATGCAATTCCAAAGTTAGGAATTAAAGAAGGCGAGTGTGTTATGACCGTTGCACCAAAAACTATCCTAAGTTGTAGTTGTAGTGCACGCTCCATCTATTCCATGATCCATGATCCATGATCCATGATCCATGATCCATGATCCATGATCCATGATCCATGATCCATCACCCAGATCTACTTCCATCTATTTTTAAATATTATTTACTTTACACAACATAATCATCTTATTATTTCGGATTCCATGATCCTATCATGTTAATCCTCAAAAATCTTATCATTAAAAAACAGAAACCGTTGTTAGATATCGGTTTAAGGTTTAAACAAACATTAAAGATATCGGGTTTGGGCCCAGGAGGGGGATTGGGCCTAGATATTGCCTACACGTGGAGGAATATGATAGGTTGAGAGCTTAGAAAGAGACAAAGAAATTCAAAATCAGAAAGAAGAGGGTTATTTATGATGCAACGCTTCCATCTCAGTGTTTCTTGAGTGGACGTAACTCCACCACAGTTCCAGAACAGCACAAACACACCTCAAGACAACGAAAAAGACTTTGATTCAGCGTAAGTAATGTGTGATTCTGAAGCCCTTCAATAGCTAAGAAAACCCAACCACCTTACAAGTTAGAACAACGACTTCAATCAGGTAACCTTTCTTCCTTCTCAGCTTCTCTCATGGGTGTTGTAAAGTTGGAGTCTTTTTCTCCCTTTGGTGACGCTTTGCAAAATGTTTATCTACTGGGATAACCTCAAAACACTGAAATCTTTAATCATTGCTCCAAGTTGTTGTTGTGCCTAATGTTTGTTTCTCTCTATTTTGAACTCTTTTGTCCTCTTCGTTCTGTTGATTTATTCCACCCTTCTTTAGGATACACTTTAGTTTTGGAGTTTAATGTTTTCTGATGAAGATCTCATATTTAACAAGTGATATAGTTGAAATAAATAGTAATGTAACTAGAATAATTTACACAGCTCAAGGACAATTCTTATACAATGGACATGTGTGTTTAAACTTCTGTTGAACCAGATAAAATATAAGAAAAAATAATCATTTATAAGGTACAATTAACTGGTGTGTAAAGTAATTTGTTGAAGTTTTTTCTTATTCATTTTTTTTAATTTTATTTTTAATTTATGTATAAACTGGTTTTTAGTAAACAGAAAAGTTTATTTTGATTTTTTTTTAAAAATACTTTCAGAAATTTATTCTAAGATGCCCAAAGAAAATAGTCACGTATCTTCATTTTTTTTTTTGCAAACTCCTTATACCCTGAGAGTATGAGATATCCACTTCGCAGCATAAAAACATATATGAGAGATTCTACATTCACCAGTTATATTAGTAAAATAATTTGTTTAGTGGGAGAGAAGAGTCGTGTCATAGATAACTAGTAATAGCAGCAGTGTTGAGATGGTGGGGATGACCGTGCTGTATGATGTTAACACGTGTTTGTGTGCTTTTGTGGTATGTTGAAAATAACGAAGAGGCATGTCATTCTCTTAGTCGCTTCTTAACTATTGTTTATTTAACTAGTTGATCGTTACGCTTTTGTTTGGGGTCCAAGGTTCTTTATTGTTGTGTTTTTGATTGTTGTATATATAGGATCTTGAGGTTAATTAACCAAGAGAAGAGGAGTGAAGAAGGAGAAGATGGCTGAGATGACGAAGAATCAACCGTCACACTGGTGGTGGCTTGATAGCCACACCACTACTAAACGATCCCCATGGCTTCAATCCACTCTCTCTGGTATGCATTTCCTTATAAATTTGCTACACTTTTTTATTTTATTTTATTGCCAAGTGAAAAGTTACCGTAGGAATAGAGGAACACTAGAGAACAAAAATAAAAAGGTTATGGGAGCACCGTAATGAGCAACTCAGCAACTCATGCCCCATGGAACCTTTTAGTGCACAAGTTCTTTATCTTTTCTACCTTTTGCCTTGTGGATTTAGCCGTTGGAGCAACCCATGGAACCTTTTTGTGCACATTCTTTTTTTGGGTTTGATAACTACTCTAATAAAAGCTTCTTCAATGTTGCACATGGAGTCAATATAACTCATTTTAGTGGGTACTATCATACTGCATTAAATTTAAAAATTGTAACAATTTTATACTTTAATCATAAAATAACCTTAAGATTATAAAATGAGCTCACATATTATCTCATAAAATACCTTTTAAGAATATATTACTTATAATTTATTAATCGGTCTTGGCTTCTTGCTGTTGAAAATCATGTTAGTCATTTCTAATGGTGATCCTGAATTCCAAGGAGTTCTCAAACTCAACAACTTCCGTCGGACACAAGTTAATGAATAAAAAATAGAAAGTTTTCATTAGAACATAGTATATGTTAGATATTACAGTGAGGTGCAATAATATTTTATAATAGGAAAGTTTACATTTTTAATTTCCTAACTAATATCCTCAATACATTAGGCATCAGATATCATTTGTCATTTTTTTTTAAGGGAATTGATTCTAGAATGGTTTTATTGAAAATCATATATGCATTGAAAATTACGGTGAAAGTGTATTTGTAATATTTTTCAATAAAAACTTTTCTTTTAATATCATAATTAACAAAATTAGTTAACGTTTCCTTGTTTAAAAGCTATATTTGGAAGATTAAAATCAAAGCGATTAGTTCTTCAAAACAAGTTGATCCTACCATGCAACAAATTTAAGTGTGATTGCCTGTTGCATGTTTGTTGCAGAACTTAATGAGAAGACAACGGCAATGTTAAAATTAATTGAAGAAGATGCAGATTCCTTTGCCAAACGTGCAGAGATGTATTACAAGAAAAGACCAGAGCTTGTGAGAATGGTTGAGGATTTCTACAGGTCTCACCGTTCCCTAGCTGAGCGCTATGATCAAGTCAAACCTGATACTTATTCTGGGGGGTCACCTTTTGCTTCAGCCAAGTATCAGTTTGAGAAGTTGACGACTTTTTCAGATAATGGATTTGATACCTATTCTCATTCTGAGCATTGTGATGCATACGAGTCAGAGGAATCTGAAGTTGATGATCCTGAGCATGAGGAGGAAGAGGGTACCAAGTTTCTTCACAACTGCACAAAAGAGGACCATGTTTCGTTTGTGGCTGAGAGCGATGATGAAGTGATGAAGCTGAGGGATGAAATCAAGAAACTCAATGAAGAGAACATGGCTCATAGGGATCAAATCAAGCAGAAGGATACCATTTGCGATGAAGTGATGATGCTGAGGGAAGAAATGGAAAGGCTTAGAGATGAGAACGAGGCACAGAAGGAACAACTGAAGCAGAAGGATGAAGAGAAGATAGAGGTGATAAGACAGCTGAGTTTAGCAATAGATGTGCTGAAGCAGGAGAATGTGAAGATGAAAAACTTCATTGCTAAGGAGTCCTTCAAGAAATGGAAGAACCCATTTGAGATCAACAAAATTGTGGGAGCATTTTCGATGAAGTTGTTCAATGGTACTTCAAAGAATCAGCCCAGCGTTGAGCTCTCTAGATGTGGTTTACAAATTTAGAATATTTCGTAGCGTAATTATGTACAAGTACAACAATCTTATAAATATGTTTATTTTTGTTTTAGGAACGTGTTACTCAAATATCCTAGGCTTAAAATCTTTATGTATTATGTTTTGGTCTTAACTACTAGAGTAAGTACTAGTCATATTCGTTATATTTTTTGAAGTGTCCTTTCTTTAATGAGTTTCATTACATTCTATATCTGTCTTTTACATGCCCCTCTCCCTCTTTCCTAATTCGAAGTGTGTCCATTTGTCCTAAGCAGGGCCATCAAAGTGATTTGTGGTCCTAGGGGAAAGGGACTAACTTATCCTTAGGTCGATCAATTATTAAGTTCATAGGTTGGTGATGGTAAGTGGCAACGGTAGCACTTCTCTCCTTTGTGTCTCAAAATTGTGGCGAGAAAATGTCCCTTCTTTTATTCAATCACTCTGATATCCTTCTCGTAAAAATTTTTATATTTACTTTTACGGTCAATTTGAGAAGAATGTTGTACAGATATAAAAATAAATGGCATTTTATTTAAGAGACTACATATATTTTATACAGAAAAACAATTTGATTTGAGTATGATAAAACTATTATAAACTAATTTGGATCAAGTCAGATAAGATTATTATGAACTAAATTGATTTAGATAAAATAAGACTATTATAAACTGATTGGATTTGAGTGAGATAAAATTACTAATCAGACAAGACTATTTTATGAACGATATCTAACTATAAATCTATAATTATTTATGTCAAATGCATGCCCTGAATTTTTATTTGGATCAATGGTTAAACTGAGTGCTAATCTTATATGTGGAAAAGGCATGCACATAGTTATAAGAACACAACTACACAAGATCAATCTATTCACAAGACATGAAGCCACATTATAAAATGAATGGTAAAGTCAAACATGAAACTGAATACAAGAGTTGATATGAATAGCAAGCAGGAGCCTCAGATGGGAAAAAAGCGAATACAGTGCCTGGAGTACCCAAAAGATCTGGGTTGGGAGGACTCGGACTTGAAGGAATTGTTGGCAGTGAGGAATATGATGGGGAATGAGCAACTCTACCTTTAGCAGGGGTAGTAGGAAACAGTGGTTCATTATCTGGTGATTGAGTAGGAGAAACCAGAGGAGCACTCGCTGGTGCTGCTGAGATGATAGAAACTTTCACACTTCGTTGAGAATTAGAAACCGAGGCTAATGAGCAATTACATACCAACAAGGCCATCAACATTGCCCAGAGTGACCAAAAGGAAGCCATAAATGATCCAGAATAAATATATTGCCTTATGATGAACTTAATAAATATGTCTTCAAGAGAAAGAGGAAACTGTTGCAGGAGAAGCTGTCAAAAAGTGCATGATTGATGCATAGAACGCCATAAAAAGAATAATCTTTCTGGATGAGAAGATAAGTACATCTAATTTTTATTTGTTTTGTATAGTAATTATTTTAAATAAAGCATCATTCAAATTAAAAGGGTCTACCAGAAATGGTGGTGGGCTTCCATTTGTCAGAGACAATTGATGATTGGGACCTACCTTCATGTTACTTTCTGGAGTGAATTAATCCTAGGTGTTCATGAGAATCATGACATTTAAATGAACTTCAAACAGAGGAATAAAAAGTAAACCAGCAGGGGATTGAGGGTGAAAACAAACAACGTTTCTAAGTCACAAAGTGACATGAAATTTTAAGAAAATTACCACAGATTGTTTGATATTTATGTCTATTAACTAAAGTCTCATCTTTGATTTCTGATTTAAACATAGAATGGTAATTGGATCTCTAAATAGGCTGATTCAATAAAAAGGAATTCTAGTTATATATATAACTTTGCTGTTAACTTAAATATTATTATTATATCACATGTCCCACGTGATTCAATCACTGTATATTTACAATAACAACTTTTCGTACAAAATGTCAGCAATTTAATCCAACAAAAGTGGATACTGTTAAGAAAGTACGGATTGAAGAAAAAGCTCTTGGTTTTGTGGGGGAAACTTGTAATGTTTTGAACAATTGAAAGGCTTGCATTTTTAATAGATCGATTTTAATTTTTATACTTTTTAATAATATAACTTTTGTTTTTTTGATGAATAATATAACTTTAGTTTAGTCTATTCATTAACTTGATATTCAATGGAAATATTCACATGACAATAAAGTGTTGACAAGAATGTTAATGTGAGGTAGAAGTATTACCTAAGTCTCAATTTTTAATTATTCAATTTTAGCCTCCGAAATTTTCAAATTGTGCAATATTGATCCGTGTTTTTCAAACATCCAACAGTTAAGAAATACAATTAATTTTTTATTATTAATTCTCAAACTTGAACTCATGGTCATACAAGTGTGGATAAACAGTAAAAGAAATTACATCACCTAATACAAAAGAAAAATGTAATTACATTATTTGCAATAAATAAATAAATAAATAAATAAAACAACTAAACAAGTGTTAACCTATAAATATTTATACTTAATATTATTGGAAAAATGATGAGTATCAGTTAAAAAATAAAAGTACTTCAATTCAATAATTAATAAATTACGCAAAAATTAATTTAACAGTTGAGCCATTTGATTTTTATTTATTTTATTTTTGGTACAAAATTCTAAGATAATGTATTTTTTTTTTTTGTTCGTCCTACTCCACCATGCGGTGGCATACACAAGGCAGGATTCGAACCCCTGACCTTGCTTAAGCGTGGATCAACCCCTACCACTGAACCACACGCTTAGGGTTTAAGATAATGTATTTTTTTTTTTTGTTCTTCCTACCCCGCCATGCGGTGGCATATACAAGGCAGGATTCGACCCCTTGACCTTGTTTAAGCGGGGATCAACTCCTACCGCTGAACCACACGCTTAGGGTTTAAGATAATGTATTTTAATATATGTATGTTATTATTAGATACAAAAAATTAGAATTTTAAAATTAATGTATAATATTTTAATACGTGTAGGAGTTACATTTAGCAATTTCCGCATGTTGCGGTTAGAGGGTATGGATCAAATAGAGAGAGAGAAAATTGAGGCCACACAACAACTTCCTCCGGCCCAAAATTCTAAATTCAAGTAACTCCATAAACCCAAAATTCAAGACTTTCCCCTTCCAATTCAACAACAAATAATTGAATAACAACAACAGAGGCCACCCAATAAAATTCATGTCACTCAAGCATTTGACAAAACAACCAAAACCATGCATGGCCAGAAAGAGGAAGAGGAAAATGAAAGTGCATGTGAGAATAAAACAGAAGAGGAAGAGAAAAAAAAAAGGAAGATATTTTGAGTATTTTAAAATTAAAAAGATTATGAAATATAAAGGTGAAAAAATCTAGTCTTTAGATTTTGGGTCCAAGTGCAGTAGCCCAACGTACAGGAATGTAGAATAATCAAATTAAGCAGTTATGTCAAATTTTTTTAAAAAATTTATTATCCAACTTATTCCGAATATTATTGTCTCTCATTAAAATTACTTGTGAATACAAAAATAAAATAAAATAAAACAAAGACACGTGATTTGAACGGAAGCTTATTTTCGCTATACTTATACATCAATAACAATTTCATAATCAAAAATTGTTTTTGCTATATATTTCTATTTTTATTCATTTATTTTGCATCTATTTTTTTGTTTTTTTTCCTATCAAACACCTTAATAATTATCAATCCAGATCTTGAAAAGAAAAACAAAACAAAAACAATGATAAAGCATAGAATAAAGCTTAATTACGATGTCTCATGTTGTGTGTGTGTTTCTTTCCACCATTTTGGAGCAGTTTTATAAGCTAATTATTAAAATGAGACAATTTTAAAATACATTAGTCATTGAGGTTATTTATATCTATAATAATAAGATTTATCACCACACTAATAACATAATATGTTACGTCGAAATTATTAGAGTCAACAATGTCGTTATTGGTTAAAATAATTTATGATTAACTAAAAAATAATTTTTTTATTGTTATAAACTATAGTATTCCATTCATTATTTTTTAGGTTGTTAAAAGTTATAATCACTTTTTTTTTTATATTATTATTGGTTTTTTTTTTTGGGTAACTAGAGGCCATAACAAATTTTGTTTACTTTATTTATTTTTTAAGATTTTTTATTTTATCTTAAAAAGGTGATAAATAAAATAACTTATTTAAAGTAATATATATATGGGTCTACCAGA